GAGTGTAAGAATAGAGAATATTTTCCTTGATATTTCGCATACTATTGTATTATTGTCCTGTGTTTTAGAAGTTGTAGCACTTAAGAATCCTTATTCTCACTCCACAGGGCAAAAAATAAATCATCCCATCCCCCTCTGAGTTCTTCTCAGGCTGGACAGATAATAAAAGCAGTGTCAGATAGGTTACCAAAGGAAAACAGTGAATTCAATATCATACATATGGAGAAGGCACATAAAATCTAAAGAATAATAGAGTAGACTAGGAATATTTATCCTGTTTTAGGACTTGGGACATCAAGGAGAGGGAAGAGGCGACTTCACATAAAAGACAGGAGGGGAAGAGTAGATATGAGATAGAATATGTCTACTGATAAAACTAGAGCTGGGTGAGACCCTTCCAAACTATATTCTTCTGGGCCATAAAAAGGAGAACACCGATGGCTTCTTCAGTTAGAATTTACAGATCTCTTCAGTTGGGGAGGGGCTAAGAATTTGGGTATGAATGGAAGCTTCTCTTAGCCTTCTGGGCCCTTAACTGTTCTTAACCCAAAACAATCTGCTTTAAGTAATGACAATAGATCCCCTCTGTCTCACAGAGTCTTCACTGACCTCTGGTTCTCATACCAAGGTGCCAAAATGCCTCGGCTGGACCTATTAAGAAAAATCTGACTCTTTTGGTGGTAATTGTTAGAGGGAAATGGAGGAGTAAATTCCTAACCAAATGGAGAATGATCTTAACAAAGGTGGAGTTTTCTGGACTCTACCCCCCCATCTCCACATCACCATCAAGATCTCCAGAGTCCAGCATTACAAATCCCAGCATACCATGAACCTTCCTGAAGTAGGAGATTGGGGGCCACTGAGAACTAGGGAAGGGGCTGAGGGGCTATGTTGGACTTAAAAGACTGAGCACATGCCCACCCCTTCTCACTTTTATGGCTGACTTTGGGGTACAGCCTTTTCTCTGCACTGTCACCTTCTGCAGGTAAGATGGACTGCAGCTGGCTATGGGCTGGCCTATAAATTCTCTCTCTCTCTTGCTCCATTCCCTTTCCTATATAAATAAATCATTTTTTTATTTCTCTCTGTGTGTCCTGCAGTCCTAAATATGGGTGAGGACTCACTAAATGAGCCATTTCCTATATTTTTCAGTTTGTCCTACTTCAGACTGCACCCTGAGTAGGAAAAATAAATAATTCTAGTAAAAGTAAACCACTCCCTTTTAGATGTCATGATGCCTCTGCTTACTATTTCATCTTTCTTAAGGGGTTGACTAATCAAATCCTCTAGAGAAACAAGAATTTAACAAAAGATAGGGTACAAAGCAAGATTTAAAAAAGGTTCATGTAGAGGCTATAAACGAGATTTTACAAAGGTATGTAAAAAGTGATAATTATGACTAGAAAGGGTCTTGTACTCAAAGGTGTTTATCTTTTAAAGCCACATGGAATTATAAAGCTAATAAATCTATACTGCCTCCTTCAGGTTCTTATGAGTAACAGCTACTAAAAAAGCTTCAACCAATTTAGGTCTATTATATCCCTTGTAAGAAATTTGTTTTTTTATTTGTTTATGTATTAAGTATTTATATATTTATAGATAACATTGGTTTTCAACATTGTATATTATTCATAGGTATATGTTCATACTTCATCAGATGTTTATTACCTCAACACCCCCCTCCCACCACTAAGGCACCCATAGTCTTCCACCATAGTCCATTGAGCCCTTTCCCCCCTTTTTTCTCTATCCCCCCCTTTTGGTAGATTCCATTATTTATTTTTTAAAAATGTTCAACCCTCTCTATCTCTCCACTTTCAAACTTTATGATTATCTGAGCTCTGTTGAAAGAATTCATGAATTATTCCAAGAAATCACTTGGTTATTTGGAAATCTAAAAATTTATCATTATTTATACATTCATTTAAAAAATTAAAAATGTTTATATTATGAACATTATTTGATAGTTTACAATCAATGAAATTTTTATTTAAAAATTAAATATTCGGGTCCTCCCGGTGGTGCAAGGGGTTAAGACGCAACCTATGAAGCTGTCCGCAGACTCTACAGCATGAGTTCCATCCCCCAGCCAGCCAGGGAGCTACCCACATGGTGCGGCAGACCTCTCCTGACTCACCCACTGCTCCCCTCAGTAGTTAAGTCGATCTACCTGTTCTGTTTCCCACTCTGTCTCTGGTGAATCCTCTCACCACCCCCCCACACCTCTGGCCTATACCCCAGCTCTTGTATGCATAAATAAATAAATCTTAAAAAAAATTAAAATTAAAAATTCAAGAAAAATATGGTATTCATACAACATTTAAAATATATGCCCTTCTAAATGTCTCTATTTCATACATCTGGATTTTTGTAGTGTTGTCATCATAACAATTTCTTTTTATTATGGCTTATATCTTGCATATTAAAATGGGACCACTGACACATTTTAATAACTATTCTATTCCATTATGCTTATATGTCATGGCTTATTTTACCATTTTTCTGGTTAGACAGTTCAGTTGATTTACATTTTTCACTATTATTAAATAATAATATAAAATTTCTGATATATAAAGTTTTTTAAAAAGTGGTATTTGTTTTAACCTAAAGTGTCCCAGAAATGACAAAAGTATGTGCATATATTAAAGATCTTAATATATGTTGCCAAATTGCTTTCCAGAGTAATTTATTCCTACTTACTATATATGGATAAGCTTGCTTCTTTCTGATTATTGACTTTTAAGGGGGTCTCAGGAATTTTTAAAAATTGCTCTCAAAGCAAGAGCTTTCATTTTTTGTATTGCTGAACATTTTTGTATCTTACTTTGTACCAATGGTATTTTGTTAATATCATAAACTGATGAACTGTCAAGAGAGTATATTCAGTTGTCAAAAAGTATAGTCTCAAAAACTGAAAGAAAAAAAAAAGCAAAAGTGAACCTTATTTTTGGTGCCTCTGCCTACCTCTATCATTTCTCATTTTTAAAATTAAAAAGATTTAATAAGTAAAAGCAGAGACATAGGCAGAGAATAAAGAATAAAAGAAGTTTCAGAGAAATATGCTACACTGATCAATGCTACAATTAATATTTTAAATATATATGTATGACTAGTTTTATATCAGCTAGTATAAGAATATATTTTAGTGTACTAAATAAAAGCTCCATATATGTTTTTTTCTTTTTTTTCTTTTAACATTTATCATTTTTAAAATTTTTTAGACAATATTTGCTTCTCCCCACCCCCTCATATTGATTCCTCCATATATGTTTTATAACTCAGGATAGAATGCAAGTAAAATGAAAACCAAAAAATTAATAATAGTGATATAAATAAGAAACATTTTTTAATATTAAAATACTGGTTCTTTTAAAAAAGTCAAGAAGGGGAAAGAAAAACATAAAAGTAAAAAAGCCAAGCAAAAACAGCATAAACTAAGTGTGATTTTATATTGAAGACTCAAAATAGATCAAAGATTTAAATATAAGAACAAAAACTATAAAACTTTTAGAAGCAAACTGGCAAAGTGATTTCATCACTTTAAAATCAAAAACAGAGTAAAATAGAAAAACTGGACTTCAAGATTAAAAACTTTTAAAAAATGCTATCAATAAAGTGAAAAAACAACCTACAGAATGGGAGAAATATATACAAATAATATATCTGATAAGGTTTGAGTATTCAGATTATATTAAAATGATATGAACAGACATTTCTCTAGAGAAAATATAAAGATGGCCAACAATCACAGGAAAAGCTGCTTTGTATCATCAGTTTTTAGAAAGATGCAAGTCAAACTATGATATGTCACTTCACACCTACTGGCATGGCTGTGATAATAAAGACCCTATGATTAACTCTCCTCCTTAGCCCCACCTATTATGGTCAGAGGCTCTGTGTCCAAGTCCAAGCTCTGTGTTAAACAGATAGTTGCACTTTATGTTTATCTTCTTTATCTTCTCTAGGAAAGGTGTTCTATAAATATTCCTATATCAATTAAATAACAACTTTCTTATGTTTTGATTGCTGACATTTAAATGGTCCCTAATTAGGTTTTGCTTAAAGGAAATCCATTGGCTATATTTCTATCAGAATGTATTTTAATATTGCCAAATATAAGCTTTTAAGGTTTTTTAGGACCTCTCCACAAAACAGGAAACGTATCACTTTTGTAACCATTTTATAATGCAATTATTTTACTGAAAAATTGGTGACATTGAACTGAAAGTCCTAGTTCATCTTGGGAAGAATTACTTTTGAAAGTCAAGAATTATTTTTAATTCAAAAATTCTGTAATTTGCCCTTTTTTTGATGAAAGTAATAAGAAATGATACAACATAACCAGTTCTAATTTCGGAATTAATTCTCTTAGGCAAAATGAGATTCTGACTACCAGAGAGAAAAGATAATTCTAAGGTAGAAATTGGCATTTCCAGTGTTATTAATAAAGTGATTTGCTTTTGCTCTGGTCTCCACCCGCAAGACAGTATTTAATTTTCCTATAATGCATGGGGCTTTACAGGGAAAGTTCTACTTATTGTGGTGATAATGGTAATGGTAGCTGTTTTTAAAATAATTAATACTTATTCATGAATGCTACCCAGTATTCTTTAAATTCCCAAAGTCATCAAGGAATGGCATTCCTACCATTGCACCCAGTATTTGGAGGGAGGTAGGGAGGGAGGGAGGGAGGGAGAGAGAGAGAGAGAGAGAGAGAGAGAGAGAGAGAGAGAGAGAGAGAGAGAGAGAAATTGGAAAATGACTTTATAGGGAACTCAGAAACTTGGTGGGTTATTTGCTCCTAGACGCTATTGTTAATCCCTATGTCAAAAGAAAGCTATAGGTACACATCAAGCATTAAAGAGCCAGTTAGAGTTGTTGATGTGAATACAAGATGGGGAGATGTGATTCATCACAGAGAACAGGCCTAGCCGTCTTTTTCCTAGAATAACGAGATTCTTTCTTCCATCAATATCTCTTTGGTCTCTCTTTGGTTTTAGGTAAGGACTGTGATGATCGGATCACAAAAATTTTATGTACCCAAATGGTGCTGAGATGCTTGCCTGCCAGGTCAGAGGAAACATGAGATGATTATGGCTGGTGGTGAGTTTTTTTTTTTAACTGTTTAATGTCAAGATGCTTCTCTCTCAAATAGAAGGCTATGTGACTATACTATACATATCCCATGAAAGAAATTACTCTGGATAAAAAATTGTGTTTTTATTTTAATTCTTTATATATCTTTCTCAGATTGGTTATCAATCTTCTTGGTACACATGAAATATAGTCCACTGCCATTTTGTCATGCAATAACTATTTCAAACACCAAAAATGAAAATTAATATTTAATTAATAATTTACTTAGTAATAAACTGTGTACCAGATCTGTATTTGCTACTAGGGTAATGGAGCATGGGCTTTCTGAAATTAAATAGTGATGGTGATGGCACAGCACTGTGGATATACTGAAAATGGTATAAATATAGTGGTGTGTGAATTATATCTTAATAAAGGAAAAAAATAATTGAAAGGATGCCTTTGGAAAGTCAAGGATGAAAAGGTGGATCCAGGGAGCTCAAAATTTTACAGTTTTCATCACTGATAATTAGTTCTGCAGCTTAAACAGGTTATAGTTATCATGTTCACATATGATATCATCTCACTAAGGATATAATAAAGGCCATTCTGAATTAAATTTGTATCATTGCAATGTCAATAAAAAGGTTTTAACAGTTTATGATTCTTAAATAACAGGATGTAAATTACAAAGTGATTAGACAAATTGACTTCAGCTATATTTATAAATGCAAATGCATTCACATTTAAGGTTAATACTTAAGGTTAATACTCCTCTGAAACTTTCTTGCTTGACTTGAATATTCTATTGATTTGCTGTCTCATGGTTTACTAGTGTACTATATAAAGATTTTAATTTCTAAAGAACATTGTTGTTTATTCTAGAAAATCTGCATGACCTATAATACATGAAATTTTAATTGAGACATATGTTATATAATAAATAATCTAGCCTGGCATTGTTCTATTTGCTTACATAACAATATCTCAGTTGGCTATACTCATTCATTGTTAATTAGAAAGGGTACTGGCAGTGTTTCCATAATATTCTTAGCAAATAAAATAAAGGAAAATCAAAAAGCTTAAGAGACTCTGAACTATTCCCAGAAGTACTACTTCAGTATTTAAGTATAAAATCAGTTTATTTTTGGATGCTGGGCTCTCCCCTTAAAAACAAGGGGAAATCTGCCAGCGTGCTAAGTGTACATGCATCATCGGGAAGAGGGAGACCCACAAGAATAGCAACATAGCCAGGCCAGGAACTATATAAATATTCAAGCTTTCTAGAGAATGCCTTTGAGAAAGTCTTTTTCTTCCCATTGAATGTTTTAAAAAAATCTTTCAGATATATGAGGACTTTAAATGTTGTCTTGAAGAATTGCAAATTTACCTGCAAATTTAGAGGTGTGGCATGTAAAGGATGGCTATTTTAATTTTGCAGACACTGATAATATTTCATGTTTATCTTGTTTCATAGTCTCCAGTTCATAAAGTCCAGGTTTTTCATTTGGTATTTGAAGGTCTTTCTGGAGCTTTAATGGATAGCTTTTGTTCCAGTTGTCAAGTGGTAGAAAGAATTCTAATTCTTATGGATGTTGGACTAAATATTAACAATTTAAGGACTGATTTTAAAATTCAAATTTTCAAAGAAAATTAGTCAGATGTTGATGTGGACCTGTAAAGAGTATTCCTGAAAGAACAAAAGTGTAAAACGTATAGATGCTTGAGACCAATTAGGTAAGTTATTCTCCTTGAACTATTCCGTATCTTTATACCCTTCCTCCATCCTACTCCATGCCCCAGAATTGCCTTTGAGCCCACAAGAGGCATGGAATTGAAAGCCAGAGGACATCTGGTGAGATTACTTATTCTCCATCCCCCAGCTCCCACCCTGCTCAGACACACTTTGGCTGTGGTTGTGAACCTTTACTGAAAAGCCCCAGTGAGTTGACTCCTTCTACATCTTCAGCTCCAACTACACTTCTCTCAACTTACAGTTCTCTCTGGAAAGAAGATAGAGAAGCTGGCAGGGACCAGATCATAAAGGGACATAGATGCTATGTTAAGGAATTTATATATTTTTGAATATATGGGTTCACTGAAGTATGTTTAATTTTAAAAAGTTAAGATTTGGCTTTCAAAAAGACAACACTAACAGCAATGAGGGAATAGATAGAAGAGTCTATAAGAGGAAACGTCATCTAGAATTGAAAAACAAAATTGTGATGAAGTCTGTTTTGAGTGGATTCCCACCATCGAGTTAATTAGCACATCCTTCATCTCACATATTGACTGTTTTGGGCGTGTGAGGACACTGAGTTCTACTCTCTAGCAAATAATACTCATAGAATACAGTATTTGAGGAAGACAAGTACTGCATGGTCTCAATTATATGTGGAATTAAAAAAAAAAAAACTCAATGATACACAGAACAGATTGGTGGTTGCCAAAGAGAGGGGTGAAGAGTGGGTAAAACGATGAAGGGAGTCAGGAGAAACAAATTTTGTGCTTTTCAATTTCCAGTTTTTATGATATGCTTGAAAGACCTTCAACTTAAGATGACTGCAGCAGTAGGTTCAGGTTGCCATAACAATAAGCCTTGCTCTTAGGTTAAAAAACAGAATTTAATTTTCTGACAGTCTGGAGACTGACAGTCTGAGGTGTAGCTGCCCGCATGGTCAGGTTCTGGTGAGAGTTCTTTCACTGGCTTGCATATAACACCCTTCTCACTGTGTTCTGAATGTGTTTCCTCAGTGCCTGTGTGCACACACAGAGAAAATGCTCTCTCTCTTCCTCTTCTGTTAAGGCCATCAATCCTATCAGATTAGGATCATAACCTTACGATCTCATTTAATGTTAATTACCTCCTAAACATCCTGTCTCCAAATACAATCACATAGGAGAACTGGGTTTCAATATATGAAATTTAAGTAAGGTGCAGGGTGGAGGGGAGAGAGAAATGGGGGGACAATTTGATCCATAGCAATAGTACAGAGGCATTCTTCTGTGTCACTTCTGATTCGTTCAGACATCTAGATATTTAATTAATCTGGAATTTTATTTTCACACCCATGTAGAATTAACTGCTGAAACATAGATTTAGCTTTTTTATTTTTCCATCTTTATATTATTTATTGAAGAACTCATTCTTATCTCACTAATATGAAGTGTCAATATTACAATAAAATAATTCAACGAGGGCCTCCCCGGTGGCGCAGCGGTTGAGCGCTGGGTTGCGAAGCTGCCCGCGGCCTCTGCAGCGCCGGTTCGATCCCCGGCTGCTCCCCGGCCACCAGAGGAGGGTCCCACATGGCGCGTAGACCCCTTCTGCCGCCCGCTGCTCCCCTCAGCAGTGTACTTGGGTCCTTCTGCCTGCTCTGCTCCCCGCTCTGGCTCTGGTGAATTCTCTCACCCTCCCGCACTTCTGACTGTACCCAGTGCATGTATAAACAAAACAAACAAACAAATAAATAAATAAAAACATGCCTCTATAAAATAAATAAATAAATAAATAAATAAATAATTCAACGAATGCATGAACTATCTGGATTAGCTTCTTGTCCATTGATTAATTTGTTCTAGCACTTATGTTTTAATTCCTGAAGGCTTACTGTATACTTTGACATTTGTCAATCATTATAGTGGCTTTAAAATTTTCCAGGATATTTTTATCCAAATTCATTTTTTAGATTGTATTTTTTTAATGAGATAATGTTGGTCATAGCACTGTATATAATTTAGGGGTACATGTTTCACACCTCTTCAGACGCATGTTACCATACCAGGCCCACCACCAAAGCACCAATAATCCTCCACCATTTCAAATTTAGAATTTGCTTGCAGGATTTCACTTAAGAAATAAATGATTATTGTGAATTCCAGACATATTTTCTATTTCAGTAAGCTAATAGTTTCATCTTATGAGCTTTACCTACTTCAGGCAGGACTTCAATTTGCTGCAGTGCATGTGGCAGAAATTTACCACCCCAGCTACAGTCTCTGTTTTCCTGTGTCATTGGGCTTGTTCTAAGTCAGCATCCTCCCTTATTGGGTAAATATGGCTCCCCAAAGCTTGAAGATCCTATTATAAAACAATCCCTCTGAGGAAAGTATCTCTGTTCCAAAGGTTCCTGATACTATCAATCATGATCTTTTTTCCTTTGCATGAGTAACATGTCCTGCTCTGAGCTAATCTCAATCACCAATGAGATAGAACATTTGGACTGATCAAGTCCAGACTTGGGCCCAGTACCAAATGGGTTGTGTGAACGACACAAAATAGAAGTGGAAGAGATTATTCTCAAGGTAAAATCCAGATGTTATTATCAGAATAAGGGAAAACTGATGCTATTAGTCAAAAGTGATATATGCCTACTATATCATCATGGTATCTTATTTCCTTTATTACTTTCTCCTTCCTTATAAGTGATTTAACTCTCTAACTTGTATGTATTTTTTCCCTTTGTGGTTTCACATTCTAATAGAAAACCCTTCAAAGAGTCACTTATTAATATTTGACTGCCCAGAATCTGAAACTGCATCGATAATGAGAGATTCTCACAATGTTATGAGTCTCATGAAATCAAAAAGAGCTAAATCCTAGACTCTAGCAACTGATTCATGAACAACCAAGGATGTTTTCACCAGGGACATTGAAAAGGAATAAGAAATAGATGCAGATTATATTTTATCTTGTCAATTGATGGTGGGCTTTGGTAGCCAGTAACAATGGGGACAATAGTGATTCTAGTTTCTGTTGCAGGATGAGTACCACTGTGCTAAATAAAACTTCTCTTGTAGGACAGTCACAGACAGAGTGCTTCCTTTGATTTCTGCCTGTTTCCTGAGTCCTATTGTTCAATTTTCCCGTTAGGTATCTAATATCCTTTAAATATTTGTATTTTCTGGCTAATTTAGCTGGAATGAATTTATAATACTTCAAGCAAAGACCCTGACTGATAATAATTTAAATTTTGTACATATTTCTATCTATATTTATCACTCATAGAATTAATTTAAGTGGTAAA